TTGAGCAATTGACAGTCTGTTCCACAGTCAGCCCCTTTCCTTATTTTGACTGATGATACTGAACTTCTCCATCATTTCTTCCCACAGAGGTAGTCTATTTGATTACTGTGTATTCCATCTGGTGAGGCCCATGTTTATTGTCATTGTTTATGTTGTTTTAAAAAAGGTATTTGCATAAATTAGTCGTTGATCTTGCAAAATTCTATCATGCAATTGCCAGAATGGTTTCTATCACCAAGGCCTTTCTCTTTGTTTCCAACTTTCTCATTCCAATCACCAGAAATGATCAGTGCGGCTTGAGTTCATGTATGATCAATTTCAGACAGAAGATGAATTCTTGAGTTTCATCATCTTTGGCTTTAGTCGTCGATGTCTGGAAGCTCCGCTGAAATCTGTCCCCCATGGGTGACCCTGCTGGTATTTAAAATACCCATGGCACAGCTTCCAGCATCACACAAGCAATAACACTACTCACTACTACAAACTGGGAGATGAGTGGTGGTCCACATAGATTACAGCCTTGGAAACTGTATGGGGCCATCAGTTGTGCCCTTCAGGGCCACTATGAGTTGGAATCAACTTAATGGGAATGGTTTTGTTTTTGGTTTGGATTCCGTACTCACCCTCCCCACCCTTACTGTGATCTAGAGTGGGCTTTGCCACCGATTGCTGTGTGGCCTTGGGCACATTGTCCAGCTTCTCTGAGCCTCCAGTGAGCTGTGGCACTGTGGAATTTGGACTTGTTCTCTTGGGCAGTGGAAGGTGGGAGGGGAGTCGAAGAATGGAAGTGAGCAGGTACTGTTTCCTGTGATGCACTGGGCACTGAGTCAGGTGCCCTGGCACAGGTGTATGCCAATCCTCAGAATCCTCCTAACAGGCTGCAGGTGAGGCCGCTGATGCTCTGGGGTTATATCCCACGTGAAGCGCTGGAGCAGAAGTCTGGGGGCTGAGACCTTGGAGGGGAAGGGGCTGGCTCGGCCTGGATGGGAGTTGGTGGGTGGGGAGGGGGTCAGAGTGACTTGGGTGTGGTTGCTATGTGCCCCCTAGAGAGAGGCTGCTCAGGAGAATGATACTCTCCCACTTGAGACACATGATTCAGCTGTCTGTGAGGTGGCACCATGCGGACTTTCTGGACCACTGGCCTAGGTTTCTACGGGTCATGGGGGAGGCACCTGGAGCCGGGGACAAGTGACCTTTCTCATTCCTTTAAAGAGGGGTGGATGTGGTATCCAGGCTGTCTATCTGGGGTGGGATGATTGACAGAAACTGGTCAGCTCTGTGGCGGGTTCAGGACAGCCCTGCACAGACCCGGCCTTAGGAGCTTACGGGTGATTGGGGACAGGGGACAAGAGAAGATCCCCTGCCAAATTCCGAGTAGCTGACTGTTGAAGATGGCAGTGGGCTTCAGGAAAGGCTCTGGTGGTCCTGCCCTCACATTTGCTATGGCAAAGGGTCCTCATTTCCTATGAGGACAAAGTCTCAGACCTGCTGTATCTGTGCCCCGCAATACCACCTATGGTAAGATCTCCCGTGAGAACCCCAGGGAGGGGAAGGAAGATAGGCTCCATCTGGGTGCATTCAGGGTGTCTTGCTATAAGGGGAACATGACCCATCAGAGTAAAGCGTAGAGGCAGATTAAGCCATCGTTGTAGGGAATGGTCAAAGAGGCTGGGGACGTACCCTGAAGGAATGGGGGGCGGGGTACAGGAGGATGTGGTCTGGCCACAAGTACCTAAAGGATATTTGTTTGGAAGAGAAGAATTTAATTTTTTTCTTAAGGTCCCAGCTGAGACTTGGGAGCAGGGTAGAAGGACTGAGAGAGGTAGGGAGGATATGATTTAATAAAATGGATAAAATCATTTGAGCCCAATCAACTACTTCTTTTAAGTGTCCTCCCCCCCTCCGCTCTGCCCCCCCCACCACATCCCGCCACCGCCAACCCTGGCACATGCTGTTGATTGAGGTACACTACTGAGTTCCCCATCACAGGGAGCATTTAAGCAGAGCCTGGGGAAGTTTGGTTGGAGTCTTACATTTGGAAAATAGGCTAGGCTCAAAGGTCTCTTCTGTGAGAAGTCACGTTACAAAACCAGAGCTGAAGACACCATTGGATAGGGATGGCAGAGAGACCCAAAGGGCAGGGGTGCCAGGGAAGGGAGAAGGAGTGGGTGGCATGCCATGGTTGAGATCACAGGGCTGTGACATGACATCAGGGTTAGAACCCTCACGGCTGCTTGCTAGCTGTGTGATCTTGAACATGTTCCAATGCTCTGAGCCTCGGTTGTCCCTTCTGGGTTGGGTAGGATCAGGGCTGGCGTCATAATCATGAAACCTCTGCAGTTGCCTAGATTCTCCTGCTTCGAAGGTTGCTGGGCTCTCTTTAATGCCCTGCTGTTACTGTGTGAAGATTCTTGGTCGTTGTAAAACCAGGGCACGGGTGTTGGTATTTTGTACTGGACTAGATAGCAGGTCATGGGCATGTGATCCAACTGAAACTGACCAGAGATGGCTGAAGGCTCTGTTGGATCCAGAACTGTCACAAGGACTGTGTCCCCCTCTGTCCCTCAGCTCTGCCCTTCTTGTACCGGTTCCTTTCTCAGAAGGACTGTTCTTAGGAGAGAACGAGGTGGCCACCGGCAACTTAGGCTTGCTTCCCATCCGCTTAGGGGAAAAGAGAGCCCTGAACCACTCACTGTGCCCAGGGTGTAGAGGGCACTAAGTGGCCAACCTGGGCCTTATTGCCTACCCATGGTAGCAAGGCTGACTGAGGGGGTCCCCTGCTGCCCCAGGAAAGGAATTGCTCTTTCAAGAAGGGAGAATGGATTCAGGGTGTCAGACACAACAGAGGCCCCTGTTCAATGTCTCACTCCCCCTCCCTCTTCGCTCTTAGCTCAGTAGCTGCTTGGTTGCCAGGGTGACCTCCCTGAGCTCCCAGCTTAGGCCTCCTGGGCAGTGGGATCCCAAGGCAGGCGGAGGCTCCAAACTGAGCCTGCCCATGTGACCACTGTCCCTGTGGCCTGGCTCAGGTCCTCTGGGCTGGAGGATGTTGTGGCATTTCCATGGAAACCACCCAGCCTCTAGCATCTTTCATATCACAGGGGCCCGGGTAAGAAACGGGGATGTTGGGGTTGCTCTGATGATTACACTGGGCATAAATAGAGCCTGAGATGGGGGGGAGGGCAGAGACTGGAGGGGTGACAGGATGTCTGGGGTGGCTCTCCACACTGATGCTTCTGGGGGGTTCCCCTCCTCTCCACACCCCAGGCCCTCCATTCTCTGGGGAAATGAGGTGCAGCAGAGATGGTCGGGGCAGAAAGACCCAAGATGTGCAGACAACCAGCCCCACTAGCTGTCTGACTTGGGCCAGCTACTTACCTTCTTTGTTGTTGTTGTTGTTAAGTGCCATCGTCGAGTCAATTGCAACCCATAGCGACCCTGTATAGGGTTTCCAAGGAGCAGCTGGTGAGCTTGAACCACCGACCTTGCAGTTCAAATGACTTTGCAGTCTGATGCATTAGCCCACAGCGCCACCCCAGGACACCCTTTAAAACTGCTCTGGCCTACTTCAGGGTTTGAGCATGTGGTTTAAATGTTGATCCAGCTTCATGGGTAAAAATTTGGCAAAAAGCCCCAAAGCTAAACCAGTTGTTGTGTGGTCAATCCTAATTCATGGGGACTGGTGTGTCAGAGGAGAACCGTGCTCCAGAGGGCATTTGGGGATGCATCTAACTGAAGTAGATCGCTGGGACTTTCTTTCAAGGTATCTCCATGTGGAAGCCGAAACCTGGGTCCAACTCTCAGCTCCTCTACATGTTGGCTATGTGACCTCCTACAAATTAATTAGCTTCTCTGGGCCTCCTCATTTCCTGCATCTCTCAAATGAGGGAACTGGGTAAATACCCATGTCATAGACTGGCTGTGAGGATTACCTGGAGATAATAGGTTAAATTTGCTTAGCGCAGTTAAACGGGTTGGGAAGAGTTAGTCACCATGATTATTACTATTGTGACCAGTTACTGGCAGGAAAACGTAGTAAACTGCAGAGCTGTGTGATGAGGGGGAAGGAGAGGGTTCGTGCTTAGAGCCCTATTTACAGAAGAGCTGTGGAGTGTGGTGACCGAGGCTGATTTTCCTGTTGTAGTTGAGGGAGTGGGTGCAGAGTCAGGGCCCTGGTCCAACTGCAGGATGTGGGTTCTCTGAGCACAACTGAGGGCTCAGAGGATGAAAGCCAGACTTCCTGAGGGGAGCTGGAAAATCCCCCCTCCACACAGCGCTTCCTGGGCCAGCCTCTGCCCTGCTCTCAGGAGCCATGGGGCAGGTGTGTGGCCATCCCTGGGGTCCCCACTCCCTCTTGGTGGGTGGGTGAGGGGCGCTGGTATGTCTGCAGCCACAGCAGGTGATGGTGAGCACCCTTGGCCTGAATATGTGCCCTGGGAAGGTCTCTGGGCAAAGTCCACAGAAGAAGCCAGGGCCAGAGATTTTACGGGTACAGCCAGACTGGGCTGGCACAAGGTGACAGCACCCACTTGTGCGTGGGCTAGGCGCACAGGGAAGAGGGAGGAGCTGGTCTCGCTTTACACAGCCCATTTGTTCTCTGGAAGCCGCTGTAAGCACCACCCTTCAGGGCAGAGCCCTTTAATCCCATGAACTCCGTATCTACCTGCCTTGTAAGGTGGTGTTTTCTATATGAAGACAGCAAGGAGACCAGTGTCACTAAAGTAGAGTGGGCAAGAGCAGAGGAGGGACAGGAGCCTGCAGGTCACTGAGAGGACCCCCGGTGGGGTCTCTGGGGGGCCACAGGGAATGAAGTCTGCAGTGAAGGATGACTGAGTGCAGCAGCCTGTAGGGGGCAGCAGTGGTCAGCACTGAGATCCTGGGAACGGGGCTTCTCACACACACACTCTGGAGCCAAGACTGGGCCCCCAGGGTGGCCGTTTAAGTAGATGTGACCCAGCTGGGTTTCAGGCAGTCTGACATGGTCTTTGCCCTCTGCTCTACAGCTGAAGCAGGAGATGGGCGGCATTGTCACCAAGATCATCCGGGACTACAAGGGCAGCGGTGATGGTGACCGACTGGAGGAGACCTGGGACTACGTGCAGGCACAGGTAAGGTGGCCGGCCCGGGGTGGCAGAGAGGCTCTCTGGCCGGTGAGTATTTGGGTCTACTTGTCCCAGGGACCTGTGTGTGCCTGACAGAGAATGTGTGTGTGTGAGTGTGAGTGTGTGGGGGTGTGTGAGTGTGTGTGTGAGTGAGTGTGAGTGTGTGTGTGAGTGTGTGTGTGAGTGTATGTGTGAGTGTGAGAGAGTGAGTGTGTGTGTGTGAGTGTGAGTATGTGTGAGTGTGTGAGTGTGTGAGTGTGAGTGTGAGTGTGTGTATATAGGCTGGAGAGAGGGGGACTTCTCCCTGGAACCCCAGTCAGGGCCCAGGGTTTCCCAGCACCCCATCTATGGCTGAGAGAGAGGGCAGCTAGGAACGTTGGGTGCTCCACCCAAAACCGCTGCTAAGGCCACTTATCTCTGGGGAGGTGCTCCTGGGAACGTTCTGGGGTGATGATAATGTTTCACCCACGTCTTGACCTGGGTGGTGGTGATGTCAGTATATAACAACAGGGCCTCAAAAAGTTTGTAGAAAAATGGAATTTTCCCACAAAAATTTCCCCTCATACATGTGTAAAAATTCATCCCACTGATCTCTTCAGATTTTTTCCCTTTACATATCTGTATTACTTCTCAATGGACTAAAGAGACAGACAGACACACTGATGGGCCAATTGACAGACTGACAGATTGGTTGGCTGACTGACTAGGCACCTGGCTGTCCTTGATGACAAACTAGTCGCCACATCCGTAAATGGGTCTCCATGGTTGGGCCCCGATCCCCTCCTTCTCCTGGTCCTGAGGAGGCTGTGTATCATTTGTCCAGAACTCATCCTCTCTCTGGGCTGTAGCCTCCTTCTCGTTCCTATGAAGATGCTGGACACAGTGGTCACTTAGGATCTGCTGGTACCAACTGGTCACCACCTGGGGGGAGAGGGCATTGGTGTGTGAGGGGCAGGGCTGGGGGCAGCAGGAGACTGAGGCACCAGGATCGTTTGGAGATGGAAGCTAGACTGGGCCCAGGTGGTAGGAACACATCTCTTCTCTGAACTGGGAAACGGGAGGGATGTTTCCTGGCCCACGGACCTCACACAAGTACTTTTTGTCAGGAGTTCCAGCTTAGATGGGATCCAGTGCCTTCAGGGGTCCCCACCTGAGCCCCACGGAGCCTGCATTTTCTGAAACTCCAGCATTTTCTCCTCTAAAAAGATGGAATTGACCATGTCTGTCTTTCATTTTGGCAACTAGGAAGCTCAGAGCCAGATCTCAGTCCCACAGGTGCTCAGCTTGTAAAATTGGCTCAGGGTCTCCGGAACTGTTCCTTGCTTTCCATGCCCGTGCCTGGTACATGGCCCATTCAGTCCCCATCACAGCCCTGTGGGCCAAGAGCCTTTGTTAGAGCCCCATTTTGCAGATGAAAAAACTGAGGTCAGTAACTTGACCAAGGTTGCTCAGCTGGTAAGTGGTAGAGCTGGGTTTGAACCTGAGAGCCTGACTCCAGACCCCAGGCTTTGAACTGTCTACCAATTGCCTTCCTTGTGTCTGGCATAACTGTGTCTGTCTCCAAACTTGGACATGCCTTCTACTCTGTGTTTTCGTAGACCCTGGTTTTTATTTTCTACTATATTAATAGTTTGGGGCCTTGTTGTTGTTAAGTGCCATCAAGTCAGTTCCAACTCATAGTAACCTGTGTAGGCTGGGTTTGAACTGCCATCCTTGTGGTTAGCAGTTCAGTGCGGATCCTCCAGCACTACACCGGGAATCCTAGGTTTCCTGAGACCAGTTGCTGTCAACTGTGATTCACAGCGCCCCCATGTGTGTCAGAATGGAACTGTGCTCCATAGAGTTTTCAGGGGCTCTTCTGGGTGGGTGGCCTTAAACCTCCAACTTTTGTTTAGCAACCAAGTGCATTAACCATTTGCACTTTCCAAGAACTCCTGCTTTTTAGGGATCTGTTTCATGAAACCCCCAAATACACAATGCCATTGAGTTCACCTCATGGTGACTATGGGGTTTCTGAGGCTGTTCATCTTTCAGGGAGCAGACAGCCTCATCTTTCTCCTGTGGAGCTGCTGGTTTTGAACCGTTAACCTTGCGGTTCGTAGTCCAGTACTTACCCCACAGTGTCCTCAGGAAACCTGAACCGTAGTTCCAGTGGCTGGGCTGGGATCAGAGGGGCCGGAAGTGGCAGCCTCAGAGCTCAGGGTGCCCTGCCTCTGCTAGGAGGAGCACGCACGAACCTGAGGTGGCCATGGGTGTGAGCGGCTGGTTCCTCTCTGTACCCAGGTGAAGTGCTGCGGCTGGGTCAGCTTCTACAACTGGACGGAGAACCAGGAGCTCATGAGTTATGGCAATACCACCTACCCCTGTTCCTGCAAGGACGAGGGGGACCAGAACGATGGCCCTGTGAAGACAGGCTTTTGTCAGGCACCCAACAACAGCACCCAGAGTGGCAACAACCCTGAGAACTGGCCCGTGTACCGGGAGGTATGTGGGGGGCTCAGGGCCATGGCGGCTGGGACACCCTGGGAGTTCATCTATTCAGACAAGCCACCTTGTCGGGAACACTGCCAGCAAATCCTGTCCTCCCCCTTCCTCTCTCCCATTTCCTCCTGCTACTTCCTCCTCACTTCCTCTCTCCTCCTTCCACTTCTTCCCTCTTACATCCTCCCCCACCCTCTCACTTCCTCCCTCCTCCCTCCACTTCCCTCTCCTCTTCCTCCCTCCTCCCTCCACTTCCCTCTCCTCTTCCTCCCTCCTCCCTCCACTTCTTCCCTCCTCTCCCTCCCCCCACATTTTCCTCCCTCCTCCCACCATTTCCTCTCTCCACTTCTTCCCTCCCCTTCCTCCCTCCTCCCACCATTGCCTCCCTCCTCCCTCCCTCTACCTTTTCCTCCCTCCCACCCTGCCTTCAGGGTGTTTACTCAGGGACACAAACCCTCCCTTGTAGGCCCTTTGGGCTGGGCACAGCCGGTCCCTGCAGTGGGTGATGTGGTGGCTCAGCCTGGGATGATGTGGGTTGACCTGGAGGTCACGTGCCTTGTTCACCTCGCAGGGCTGCATGGAGAAGACGCAGGCGTGGCTGCAGGAGAACCTGGGCATCATCTTGGGCGCATGTGTGGGCGTCGCCATCATTGAGGTCTGGGTCCCCTTCTTTCCAGCCCACCCCTTGCTCTGTCCTCCCTGACCGTCCCTGCTCCACTTATGGGGCCAGCGCCCTTCAGCTTCTTGAGGCCCTGCTGCAACGCAGCCCAAATGCTGTCCGGCCCTGGGAGCCCAGGCAAGGCACTGGTCTCTCTGCCTCCCCTCCTGCCCCCCTGCTGCCTGTGTCACTGGGTGGGACTAAGGACCTGATTAGTCTAGATCAGACATGTGTGTAAGAGGTTCCTTGGCAGCTGGGGTTGGGGGCTAAGCAGGCCCACCTCCCGTCTCTCCACCTGACTTGGTCTCTCTCTTCCCAGTTCCTGGGCATGTTCCTGTCCATCTGCTTGTGCCGGCACATCCAGTCCGAAGACTACAGCAAGGTCCCCAAGTACTGAGGCAGCTGATGTCCCTCCTCCCTTCCCACCCCGCCACCTCGGGGCCCCCTCTCCAAGCCTGCCTCCCACCTCAATGCCAAGTCCCTTGCCCTCCAGTGCTGGCTGGAAGTGGGGAGCTTGCAGGGGCCTCGATGCCTCTCCCTGACTTTCTCCTGCCATCTGGAACCCTGGCCTTCTGTGGTCTTGCCACCGCTGCTCCCAGGGGTCCTTAAGCAGAACCCTGCTCTGTCAGGGTGGGCTAGATTTCTACTCCCGTCCAGGGCATGTGTAGTGAATGTTCTCAG